TGCAGCTGAAGAAACATCTTGTCACAGCTAGCTACGTTAATGATTCAATGTTAAAGCTAGACGAAGACGCAAAATGTGCTGGAATTACTATTCTTGGTGAAATGGGCTTGGATCCAGGAATAGGTAACCTTCACCCGAGAAAATTAAATGCTCTACACTTTTTTTATTTTATTATATAATGCTGTTCTCCTGCATATAAGTAACTTTAATAAGAGCGAAATGAATTTGTTGGAAACTTCTTCATGGTATGAAATTTCCTCTGAATGTTATTGTGCATAACCTATGGTAATAGTACTGCATTTGCAAGTTACCTTCTATCACTTTGTTCAAGTTATCTTCATCAAAAAGTGTGATGGCCACGTCAATCTAAGAAGTAGTAGTTGAATCATTTAACTTCACGAGTTTACTTAGGCCCATCTTGCTGGGTCCAGAATATTATTATTGTGTAGTAATTTGGTTGCTTAATATTTTATTCGGGAAACCTATTTATGTTCTCCAAAATCTGATCAATAAATGATACTGATGATTCAGGTAAAATGTGGCAACAATAGGTAGTTAGTCTTTGTTTGTGGTGACATAAATACCTCCATACCACTCATGAATTAGGCAGCGCATGCTCAAGATGTATCATAGAAAATTGTTGAGATAAATGTCAATGCTTTTAGCTGAAATACAAGTGTCTGATGGTGAACAAATTTGCTGCTGTAAATTGTTTTTTTATTCTAAATTTTTTTTTTGAGAAAGAAGTATGTTTTGACCAATCTTTGGTTAACTAGTGGTACAAATTTTATGTTGTAGATCATATGATGGCAATGAAAATGATCAACCAAGCCCATGCAGCAAACGGAAAGATCAGGTCTTTCGTTTCTTACTGTGGTGGTCTTCCCTCTCCAGCTGCGGCCAACAACCCACTAGCTTATAAGTTCAGGTATGGCTTCAAGTTCGATTGAATGTTGATTTGATAAGATTACCTTGTCAATTTTGAGAAGCCTGATTGAGCAGGCTTCTTGATATGACATATTTCCAAAAACCTGTGGGGTATCTCTATTCTTCTTTCTTCATTGGCACTTCTTTGCTAACCAGAAGCACATAAAGTGCCCTCTCCAAACTGCCTGAGCATTTCCATTTTCCTTAGTGATTAAACTGTCTCAACTAACTTTTGAACTAGAGAGTAACTTCTCTTTCCCAACATAAGGCCCTGTACACAAAAAGCAGATAACTATTTGTATTCACTCACTTGATCTATTATTCTCTTTCTGGACGTAATACATTCACACGGATGTTTACCGCCTTCCATTTTGGGTTACTTAGTTTTCGTCTTATTTTTCTGGTTATTAGTGAAGTGGATGTAATCTCTCTGTTATCTTTTACTTGTTACTCCCTCCGTTCCAATTTATGTGAACCTGTTTGACTGGGCACGAAGTTTAAGAAAAAATGAAGACTTTTTGAATTTGTGGTCCTAAACAAGTCAAAAAGGGGTTCAGAGTATTTGTATAGTTATAAAAGCTTCTCATTAACGGTAGAATTGGAAGTTTAAGCTAAATTGTTTCCAAATTTAGAAAGGGGGCATTTTTTTTGGAACGGACCAAAAAAGAAATAGGTTCACATAAACTGGAACGGAGGGACTAATATTCTTCCTACTCTGCTGATTTTACATCTCAATCATCCTATTCGTCGATTAATTTTGTTATGTTGAAACATTATCTAGTTGGAACCCAGCCGGAGCTATACGAGCTGGGTGGAATCCAGCAGCCTATAGATCTGAAGGGGAAATTATTCATGTTGAAGGTGAGTAATTTAGCATAGGAACTGCTTTTGATATCTGTCCCATGAAGAAGTATATTGTACTAAAATTCTAAAACAACTTCTAAAACTACTTCTACTTGCCTCTGTAATATGCAGATGATAGGTTCCTATGTATCATTGACAATCTTAAAGAGTTTATGTCCTCATCTGATTTTTTTGGTCTCTTGCAGCCAATATTAATAGCTATTAATCTCCCGTAATGACACATACTAGCTCTTCAAAGCTCCAACTGTTATCTCCCTAAGTTATCTTCACCCTTTATGGGGCATGGGCATGTGAGGTAGTTTGCCATTTATGTGCTTTTTCTTCGCTAACAATATTCTAAATGCAGGTCAGAGGCTTTATGATTCAGCTGCAAAGCTTCGTCTTCCTGATTTTCCAGCTTTTGCATTAGAGTGTCTCCCAAATCGCAACTCCTTAGTGTATGGAGACTTATATGGTGTAGGAGAGGAAGCATCAACAATCTTTCGAGGAACACTACGCTATGAAGGCATGTCACATTACTGGGTTTCATACAACGCTTTCAGTTAAAGAGACTTGAGTCTGACTTAGGGTTTGAAGGAAAGCATTAGACAGATAACTTTTAGATTTTATTTTCATCCATATAATGCATTAAAAGGAAAAATAATTGCTCAGAAGAAGTTGAAACACCGTCCTTCTCAAATTGTTATCTGCTTTATGGTTTTGGCGAGTCAGACTTAAAATGTGTGACCGCCACATCTAAAAGCTTTTATTTATTTATTTAGGTCTTGAACATCCCACTCACATAGGAGCACCTAATTCTTTTTTAGCTTTTAACGTAGTTCATGTAGCTTCTAAATAATGCTTTGAAATGACAAAGTGGATAATTCTTTGGGATTGTGGGAGTAATAGACTTGATTGCTTTTTTTGTCACCAAATTTTTGGGTTGACATCTTATGGGTTGATATTTTTCACAGGTTTTAGTCAAATAATGGGGACACTTGCCAAGATTGGATTCTTCTGTACAGAACCATCTCTTATTCTTAAAGATGGGATTAAACCCACACACAGAGCATTTTTGCTGGGACTTGTTGGAATAGACGGACAGATTTTCCCCGAACCAGTAATTGATGAAAAATACATCACTGATAGGATCTTGAAACTTGGGCTTTGTAAAGACAAGGACACTGCAGTTAAGACAGCAAAAACTATAATGTAAGTTGAGACAACTATCTGAGGTCAATCAGTTATCTACTTGAAGTATTGAAATTAAGTGTATGTTCTTTACGAATATATTGGTATACAATGTGAAGTGCTGTTTTTATTCATTTAAAAGAAAAGGTTGTGGTTGAATGATAAGGGGTTTACTTAATATCCAAATAGATTTTTGGGATTTCAAGAGCCTACAGAAATACCATCATCCTGCAAATCTCCATTTGAAGTTACGTGCTTGCGCATGGAAGAGAGATTAGCATACTCCAATACAGAGCAGGTAGTTGTCAGAATTACTTTTTAAGCCAACTAACATGCAACTAGTGACCTGGATTTACCGTTGATGTTACTTGTGTTAGGACATGGTGCTTTTACACCATGAAGTGGTAGTAGATTACCCAGATGGCCATGCTGAAACCCATAGATCCACACTTTTGGAAATGGGGAGGACAGCGAATGGGAAAACCAACATGGCCATGTCTCTTACAGTAGGGATTCCCGCAGCCACTGGAGCTCTGGTATTCTTCTATTGAACTTGTGCCTGATGATCATAGTAGCTTTGTATTATGGACGAAATCGTAGTTTACTCTTTTCTGCCCATTGCAGCTATTACTTGCGAACAAGATCAAAGCAAATGGTGTACTAAGGCCTATTGATCCAGAAGTTTATGAGCCAGGTAGTTCAGCTCCATTGATTTCCAATTTGTCTAGGGGAAAGGAATGCTTGCTTGCGTAGAAATGAATAATCCAGTTTGATTTAGTAACATTAGGTGTATTTGGTATGATATTAAAATGATTTAATTAAAACAAGTTCTCTTGAAAAAATTTTCTAAAATCATTTTTCCATAATTTGATTACGCTTAAAAATTGATTGGTGGAAATAGTAAAAGGTGGAGGATGAAGCTTGGTGTAATAAATTTGAGTAAGAGAGATTGACAGCAATCAACAATGTTAATAAGTTAGTTGAAGCGAGTGACGGGGAATAAGTTAAAATAGTTGAAGAGGAGAATGAAGGAGAATGTCAGTCATATTCCGTCATTTGTTCTTAAATATATCTTCATTTTTTAATAATTTAGGACAAGTAAGCACTATAAATGATTTCGGAACTTTTTCCAAGATAAGGTGGATGAACCATAAGGAAATTCTCAACTAAGATATGAATCCAAGGTTGTTCTCCTGTGTAGAATGTGAAGAACATGATTTGCTGATAGGAAAATATTTCTAGCTATATTGTAAGAACTCATTTCGTTCCTGGATTTTATTTCAAACAAATAGTATACCTTTTGTTTTCGCCAAAATATAAAAGAAATTTTAAAAACCTCTGGCTTGATACAAATACCGTAATATTAATTTTTTAAGTTCGTGTATTTTAAAGTACAACTATGAACTCTAGGTATGCTTTAGTTGGAATCAGTCTCCTTATATTATATCAGCAGTTACCCCAGCATACAGCTGATAAATTGTCTGTCTGTGTTTTATCATCAGCTCTGGTTGTATTGTAAAAGAACAGTTAGTGACATAATACTCAGCTCATTTTCTGTAAATTTACAGCACTGGATATTTTGGAGGCATATGGTTTCAAGTTGCTGGAGAAGATTGAATAATGTTTACTGACCATTGGTCTGTTTGATATCAAAACAGATTCTTTTTTCCTGAAGGGTGTCAAATTGTCTCCTAGTAAATCATTGAACAAGCATGTCATTGATGTACATAATCCCGACTCTGTCCTATGTATTATATAAGAATTTCTATAATTTACAAACTAAAGGCCGAGCATATCCAAGAACAATATTTGGATCATAGATTTCATAGTACTAGCTTTGTTTCTTTTTATATGGTATTATTTCCTTATTAATTAGTTATAACATGATTTATCTATTCCAATAACATGATTTTCTAGCCACAGAAATCTATGGCTTGTTTACGACCAATATATTTTCTCGAGGTTCTAACATTTCCATCACCAAAAACGGTAGCACATAATTCAACTAGAAAATAAATTTGCAATATTGAATACCTTTATGGGTTGCAAGTATATAAAGGAGTGTCATTACTAACACTCGGAAAGTTATATATCTGTGCAGAGTAGAAAGGTAAAATGGAACAAAAAATAAAAGATAATACAATTATTCTACTGATTACCAACTTCTAATAGCTGAGGCTTCACTTTTTGATCGCCTTCAAGCAGGTTTACGATTGGTTTAATATATGAAGTCAAATAGAATACAAATCATACATTTTTTCAGGAATTTCTGGGAACTATCCATGAAACTAACTGATGCTCCACTTCTCTCCAGTTGTGCACTTTCTTAACCATGGGATGCCCATTAAGTGACTCACTCTTGGACCATGGGTATGAATTTTCATAATCAAAGAGAAGAACCTTAATTCCAGCTTCCGCACACTCGATAGCATACCTCGGATTGTCATCAATCAAAACATTTGCTCCCAATGACCTAGCAGACGCAGTTATCTAAAAAGTTAGTCTAACAGCGACACAATTATAAAGTTTCACAGGTCAAGAATACACCATAATGAGTCAGACAAAAATTCCGGAATATAAACAAACTAACTTTGTACAACCAGCTAACATACAAAAGATTCCATATTCTATGCCAATAGACAATGGTCAGCTAGCTAGCTAGATACCAAAATGAGGGGTGACAATCTACTGCTTTATGACATTATCTGAAAATGGCAAGGCCTTGCAGAAAAATAGAACAAAGAGAACGCGAAAGGAGACTGATGATATTACCTGCAAATATCTGATTTAGCTATAGACTGCCCATTCAATGCAAAGTGATTGCCAAAGTGCATATCCTGAAACAATCCAGGATAATGCCTCTCAATCCACTCAATTGTGTGATCTTTAATGGCGTTTTGCCGGGACCTATCAAAATATTGGTCAAATTAGTTCTCAAGCAAATACTCAGTGTGGAAGTTAACAATTAATTGAAGCAACCAAACTACGTACGTTACAATTGACAGGTTACAGAATCTAGACATCTTGTGAAGAGCCTGTCGAGCACCAGGAATTGGATGAATTCCGGTCTTGAAATAAGAGGTCTTGAAGAATTCATGGACACGGATATCAGCTGCCAAAATAATTATGTAAGGTTAAAAACAGAAACATTTAGTCACAGATGTCGTGCAGGTCAAACCACTGCATACAAAAGCAACACGCGGAAAGGCAACGAGGTCTCAAGGGCTTTTATGGAAGGAGCGGACCAATTTACTGAAAAGAAAGCACCAATAGAAGAAATGCACAACCTTGTATAAGATACACAAATATCTCATCCGTAAACTAAAAGAATGCATCAAGCATCTAGATCAAATTAATGTGATGCCATATGTCTAAATCAATTGCAGCAATCAACACCTATTAATTTTTACTTCACTAAAAAACAAACAGCAAACAGTTGGTTTATTCCAATTTTATCAATTTCAATTGCCAATTAAAGTCATTTCCATAGTCAAAGTACGATAAATGCCAATTAAAATGAAGAGCAGCAGCAGTAACGGAGCAGGAAACAATGGAACAGCAAAACAATACATTAGCAAAGCAACAGAAAAGATATACTTGTCCAGAGGAACAAAGGCAAGAAGAGCAGAAGTAGAAGCATGCGAGAAGACAAAAAGATGCAGTAGTAAAGAAGCAGAAGACAAAGAAAAAGAAAAGAGAGACGAGAAGGCAAAAACTGCAGAAAAANAAGAAGAGTATGCCTGATGTCTCCACTCTAAAAATGAATGAATAAAAAGAGAACAAAAGCTGGAAAAACACCTTGGAATATTTGCCTATACCTAAATAACTCAACTGAAAGGAACTTAGTCACAAATATATGACCAATATAAAATTAATCTTACTTAAGCTAAACTTGACCCCCGATATCAGCTGTACTTTATCTTCTTTTTTTCTTTGAGAAATTATGTCAGATCTACTTCATCAGGAAGATCAGAAAAGAAGAGTATGCCTGATGTCTCCACTCTAAAAATGAATGAATAAAAAGAGAACAAAAGCTGGAAAAACACCTTGGAATATTTGCCTATACCTAAATAACTCAACTGAAAGGAACTTAGTCACAAATATATGACCAATATAAAATTAATCTTACTTAAGCTAAACTTGACCCCCGATATCAGCTGTACTTTATCTTCTTTTTTTCTTTGAGAAATTATGTCAGATCTACTTCATCAGGAAGATCAGAAAAGAAGAGTATGCCTGATGTCTCCACTCTAAAAATGAATGAATAAAAAGAGAACAAAAGCTGGAAAAACACCTTGGAATATTTGCCTATACCTAAATAACTCAACTGAAAGGAAAGACCCAATAATACCTTCATCTCTTGAGCATTTCCATATCTGCAATGATTAGAGAAATGGTAGCTTAGAAAAGCACAAAAGTTACAGGAGAAGGGATATGCTAAGGTAACCAAACAAGTGATACCTCCATAGTTAGGACATCTTTTTGTACATTGCACTACCATTTCTATGTTTACTGAATATTTTTTGATAGGTAAAAGTGAATTAATTGTTAATACTAATTAGCACTCAAGCGGAGGACCATTTACAAGTAAAGACAATAGACTTGCACACAAGCTTATTTACAAAAACGACAAGAGCACGGAACCCAAGATCAGCCAACTACCAAAATATACCATCTTAGCAGCACAATCTACTTTTCTTGCTTACTTTCCAACTAGCATAATTTAAACCCATTTTAGTAGTTTTAACCCACGTTGTTGTCTTGTACTTGATCTCCTTTTGTTGCTCTCTTCATCAGTTTTCTATCCATCACCCATCAATTTGTCATGACTCATTACCCTCTCTTCACTTCCACCCCAAGAGACTCCTAAAAGTTTCCCTATATAGGTCAAATTCTGCTGTTCAAAATCACCCATTTTAGTACTATCAACCACGTTCACGTCCAGTTACAGGTAGTGTATTCTCATTCACATATGACGCACTATCGAAATTGTCCTTGCTGCTCCATCACAACAAGTAGAATCCAGCAACTACCAACACTGTTTTTGTCATCTTAAGTGTATCTGCCCAGCATCTTGAACGCCCTTCCGGTGCTCATGTTGAATTGCTATTCAACTGTCATTCCCTTCTTCTACTGACATAAGCCCCTTAAATCTCATTACCCTTTTTAGCCTTCCTTTATTCCTGTATCTATCAATTTTGCATTGGGGGAGAAAGAGAGAGAAGCAAGTCCATCATTAAAGCAGAATCGAAAATGGGATTGAACTCTCAATTTAACACTCCTCAGTTTGCTATAGTATCTTCTCATCCATCAGTCCTAGAAAAAGAATTGTTCTAATTTCCTTTTTCGAATTTACTGCAAACTGTGACCAAAGAATAAAAAGATTTATTATTTTTAGTACCGGGTTTTCATTATTCTTTAATCAGGGACAAGCAGATTTTGCACTCCCACCTTTCTTTATTTTTATTCTTGAAAAATACAAAAACAAACAAATTGACTATTTTCCATAACCAAAAGTAAAAATATCACGTTACAACTCTTCTAAAAATTGTGCCAGGTCGAACTAAATTGGATATCAAACTAGTGGAAGATATTTGTAAATTCATTCCAAATGAAGCACAGAATATTTAGTAGTATAAATCTTCAGTTAGTCAGTCTGATTTTTGCCAACTGAGGTAAACCCTCATTTTCTGTCTCTCATGCTATTAATTGCTTTGCGGTGCCCGTTACAGAAATCTCATAAATTGGATCATTAATAACTTGGCCAAACTGGTCTTATATCCAGTGTTGTCAAAGGCAAAAAACATAGAAAAGCACCAAAAGCCAAAACCATTATGTGACATCAAACAATATGCAACAAAGTTGACAAGCATGGTACCTTGAAAAATTCATATACATGATACTCAGACACCGAATGGTATGATGAGTAACGATCTGCAATGAATTCGTTGAGAGCAGAAACAAAGTTCCCAAGGACTGCAAACCAGCAAATAAAAGAAATAAGGATACTGAAAGTGCAGACACGATCAGTTTACATTAGAGACAGTAACACAACTAAAAAAAGATGAGAGAATTATAAGTAAGAGATAATGATAGAGGGATCAAAACAGTTAACATTCTGTGAATAGGGCAAACAACTTTGCAAATGACAGTGATTCCCAAAATAACAAGCATGATTACAGAACTATACAACAAAAATTATGAGAGTACTTTTAGAAGACTTGCCCCCAGTACTTTTGATGAGTGGCGACATATTATTTGCGAGTTTCAAAGGTTGCCGTTGGTCCTAAGGGTTGGTCCCAAACGGATTTCTCGGTCTTAAAAAAGGTACGCTTGGGAGATTTGTTGCAGTGACTGCAATGATCCTGGACATCTAAGGCTCTTTCCTACATAATGTCTGTCATCACACATAAACCAAGGGAATGAATTTTATAACAGAGAAATCCTCAAGGACCAATGGTAATGGGTCAGCCCCTCTACCTTCTCCACTTAGAAACCAAGCTAATTCTGTTATAGGGTTCAAATCCGCTTAACCGACACATCACATCACATAATGTGCTCTTACCACTGCGCTGGAGGCATCACAAGCTGATGCCTAACCCACACATCACAATCCTTACAATCTAGCATTACAAGAGAGAAGTTTTTTTTTTCAAATACCTTCATCAACATCAACAGCCACAACAATTTTGTCATGTAAATCTTGGTTAAAGAATCCAGCACAGCTTCCTCTGTTAGATGTATTGCTGTTAGTATCAGAAGGCTTAGTAGCATTACTAGTACTAGCTCCCTCTGCATCATCATGTAGCAAGAGAGGGAGAGATGGAGCAAAAGCCTGTGCCCTCTGAAACCCATTCACATACTTATTGTTACAACTTGTATTTGAATCATTAGAAGAAGAAGAACAGCAGCCCCAAAGCCTAAGAGCCGTCGCATTATTAAAAGGGTATTTTCCTACACCACCACCATTTAGATCAATGGAGGACGAAGTAACATTAGATAAAAACTTTACACATGACAAAAGCTGAAAATCTTTAGGGCCAACAGAAAAGGTTGATGCTATTGCCATTAAAGGACGAATCCAATTATTACTTCTCCTTCTTATCATAACGATACTGGAAAAAATGCCCTCCCACACATCTAGCAAGAACCCACGAAGGTTAAAAACAAAAGCAGAGAATGGTTGATTGTGTTTTTTTTTTTAATGCCCCATAGCTTAAAATGCAAAAGGGCCCTGTCCTTTTAATGGATTGTGAACATCTGCTATTTTAATAATATGATTGGACAAAGAAAGAGCAAAGGGAAAAGTGAAAGCCGGATCAAAATATGCCAGTGTGAGAAACGAATATTTTAAACTCCAAGAAAAAACGAGGAAATGAAATTCTATAGATCTCCGAAGGAAACCATTTTGTAATGTTCAATCAGGGGTCTAAGAACAAGGCAAGGGAGTTGCAAAAATTACAGGTAGAGAAGGTGGCGCTTCACCATTCAGCCCTAATATCCAGTGTAATGCACCGGCTCTTTAATACTATGGTGTACCTAATGCCCCCAAAAGAATTCAAATGCACCTAAGTCCCCCGTAGCTTTTTAGCTACGATTCACTTTAGAAATTTCGAAGTGATCGTTTGGTACGCGAACTAAATTATTCTGTCAACCAAATACCGTATAAATTTAATTTAACACCCTTATTCCACCTGATCATGCATAGCAGACGACTCTATCCACTAAAAGTTAAATTTTATAATCACTGTTCTACAATTTCATTATCTCGCTTCGTTGTTATTTATTCTATGGAAGAAATTTTACACCTATAAATAATGTGTTTCTTCCTTGTATTGTGTTATGAAAAAGTATTGTAGAATGCATGAAAAAAAAAAAGTGAGATTAATATAGTGAAAAAGAGTGTGTCACGATCCAAAATCACCACCGACTGTGATGGCGCCTAACTCCACTTACTAGGCAAGCGCAGCATAACACTTGCAGAAAATAGTAGCAAATAAATGATAAATGAAACTAAATGTCGAATATAAGCATAGATAATAACAAATCATTACACAGCTCCTAGAAACTGGTAACATTGAATTATGAGCTCTTCAGTACGAATACAAGTCTGCTAATATAAAATACTATCTGAAACAACAACAGTAATGAAAGATAGGAAGAGACGTCAGGGACTGCGATCGGGAAGTAGCTCCACCTCGATCTCAATAGCACAGCTCAGCTCACAATGCTCAACTAGATCCAACTTTTGAATCTGCACATAAAGTGCAGAGTATAGTATGAGTACAGCTAATCTCATATACTAAATACGTAGCAAGCCTAACCTCGGTAAAAATAGTTACTGGATTTGGCAAAGTTCGATATTGACTTTCAACAACCAACAATAATAATAGCAACATAATAATGGTATATAAGGGAAAGCAGCTTCAAGTAATAACGGTTCAACTCTAGCACAATAAGAGGGGAAATAAGTATGCTTTTCAGGTATATCAGTCAAGGCATCAACTTTTCTACATAAATCGCCTAGACAGACATGGATTCATCAAGATAACTATAATTTCAAGCTCTAAACATCAAATATCAATTAACAAGAGGAAAATACTATATGTCTGCATGCCAAATAGATATGCCAAATCAACAACATCACAGTGTAAACATCACGTATACATAATCTCACCATATTCATAGTGCCTGGCATAAGTACTCTGAAATTATACTTTCAACACTCTCATAGTACATGGCGCAACGCCCATGAATCATCACGTACACACACTCAGCATTGTACGGGTGCCTGACATAAGTCTCTTACTAAGCACATATCGTGTGCATGCACTCACAAGGCCCAAAGTAACATGGGTTATCACTTGACTCCGGAGGGGCAGATCCTAGCCCAAGCACTGATCGGATCAAAAGTCAACGATCAATATCACTCGGCCCAATATGGGACTTTGATGCAAGTGTCACCTAATAATCAATACCAACACGGGTCTATGGCCTAGGATCAGTCATCAATCCGCTCAATATGGCTATATGGTCCAAAATCAATCATCTATCTCCTCAATTCTCAATATGCCAACATTTCACAGTACCACAATCAAAATACCGCATGGAATATACCAACAGGCCACAACTCAGCTCAAACCCATGTCACACACAAAAGGACACTAACAACATATGAGATAACATATAAAGAGTGCATAGAGATAGAGATATAACACGTTATGAAAATATTACTATGGCTAAAGCAAATAGCTCAACATAGCAAAAATAGTCGTATCATGTCACGAACAGATAAGCAATAACCTAGACATGATTTCTAACATGAATAATAGCTCGCATAGTCATACAAGTGGAGAAGATACGGTATCAAAGATGCAAGATAGAAAAGCGAGGCATATAATTTCCTAAAGTCTACTCGAATCATGAATAACCACGATGCACGCATATGCGTCATCCCAACATATAGCACACATCATAGCCTACGGGAAAATACCTCCAAGTCGAGCCTAGCCAAGATACTTACCTCGAACAAGCGAGAATCAATACTCCAAGAATCCCTTGCCTCTCAAATCGGCCTCCAAACAGATTAAATCTAGCAAAAAATAAGTCAATAACGTCAAACAAGGCTATAGAAATTGATTCTAAACAATAAAATTTCAATTTTTATTCAGCTACACAAAGTCAACCCGGACCCGCTTTTCGAAATCAAATAAAACTCACAAACCCGACTACCCATTTGAATACAAATCCAAATATATTAGTTTCACAAAATTAGGGTTCAATTCTCAATTATTCACTTTTCAAAATCCAACACAAAAACCCAAATTTCTCTTTTTGATAGGGCTATCTTGCTATATTAAGTTGTTCGCCTTAATTGTAGTCATATTCTCAGTCATGATATTATATCTGCATATTATATCTCTGTCTCTAGGCACACATTATATGTTATCCACATGTTGTTGATGCCCTTATATGTGTGACACAGTTTGGGCTGAGTACTATGAGATGTGAATACTTGAGACTTGAGAGGTTGATGACTAATCTTGGGCTATAGAGCCGATATGATACTAATAGTCAGTTGATGCGTACGTCAGGCCTTGCATTGTGCTAAGTGGCATTGATAGTGAGGTGACGCATGCGCTAGGCCCCATATTGGGCTAAGTGATATTAATCGTTGACTTAGATTTGATCAGCGCTTAGGCAAGGACCCGCTTCTCCGGAGTCAGGTAATAACTTGTGGGTGCATGCACATGGGTTATATATGTGATTGGTGAGGGACTTGTGTTAGGCACCATAAAGTGTTGAGTGTTGTTATGTGTGTGAAATGAAGGGAAATTGTGACAGGCACCATATATATGCTGAGATTTGATATACTTGTTGATTTAATTACGATATTGTTGATTCTGGGATGCATACTTTTCATGCAGGTATCGAGATGTGTCTCTTCCTTCATGCTTATTGGTACTTAATGTCTTTATTTGATGTGTTGAACTTGAAATCACCGTTAAATTAATAAAACCATATTTAAGTGATTTCTGTAGAATAATATATGCCTTAACTATTATTCTTGAAAAGCATACTTATTTCTTCTCTTATTGTGAAGAGGCCGAACTTGATATTATTTGAGATATCTTTCCTTTTTGACGTTATTATACCGTTATTGTTGTTATTAGTGATTGAAGTTGAATATTCGACCTTGCCGAGCTCGTCACTGCTTTCAGCCCCAGGTTAAGCTTGTTACTTATTGAGTACATGGGGTCGATTTTACTCATACTACACACTCTGTACTTTATGTCCAGATTCAGGTGCTTCTATGAGAGGTGTGGCACCAATATCATTATTTTTAGAGATTTCGAGGTAGCTGTTGTTCCGATCGCAGACCTTGAAATTCCTTTTCTCTTAGTTTATGTTATTACCGTTATATCTTTCAGACAATTTTGTATTTTGGGATCAGACTCTATATTTGAACTCTATAGCTCTCATGTACTCATTGACACCAAATCATCGGATGGTTTCAGTTGTGTTATTGTCGTTGACTTCAATTATTTATGATTATTCTGCTATTGAGGCTATTTATTTCTGTTATTTAAGTTTATTCCTACTTATTAGATGTTGGCTTGCCTAGCAAGCAGTGTTAGGCACTGTCATGGCTTTGTGGGATTTGTGGTCCTTATAGATGCCTATGCTCATTTTCTTGACTCATGTTTACTTTGTATTTTATGCTTAATATCCGTGGCTCTATAGAAATTTTCTTGATTTGAGAGTTAGAATAGTATTATCTTTAGTGAGTCATGTGCGAAGTAAGCCTTTTGTATTGTCCATGCTTTGTATTTGAATCTAGAACTTATCCGGCGTGTGAGTTAAAGTAAAATCCTAGGTATTGATTTAGTCCTTCTTTGATCCATTTGAGCTTTATTGCTTACTACTGATAAAAATTATCCCTAGTCATCCATTTTGAGCTTATAAACCTTTTCTTTGGCACCTGCATTATAAGCCTATATCCTTTTATTTCTAACTGATTGTGTTAAACCTTTTACCTTTGAAAGTACTTTTTTTTTTGGAAGAATCCACTAGGGATTGTGCCTGGGGATGATTTTCATATGTATAAAACTAAAGTACAACAAGGAGGGGGCATAAATCTTACCTCCAAATAAGTGGTTGGTATCAGATGACTACTAAATCTATAGCCATTTGGTACCTTACAAGTATGTGTAGTCATACCTAAATGAGTGTACCATTTTGCTAACCAAAAAAGGTAGCCTAATGATTTACAAAAATAGTTAGGTCAACTATAAGACTAGAAATTGGAGGACGCCTCCAATATACATTTGCTCTTATAATACAACAGAAGGCATGTTCTCCCTATGTGAGGTGACAAAAATATAATATAACAACATAGGGTAGGTATTAAAGGATACATCAAAGTTATCTTCATGTTGGCTTGAGCAATGAAGGAATCCATTGTGAAGGTAACCCAAGTATATGCCAAAAATTTGCAGAAAACTATCTAAACTTGTGTTGCATATTTTTGATTGCTCAATTGCAACCAGCTCCAAAAATTCAAAAAAATCGATGCTTCTTGATTGTTTTCTTATATCATCTGTGACACTGCCCAATGGTGGATAATGCAGCGACCAAAAAAAATATTGACAGAAGAGAGGAAGCATGAGTTATCCTGGTGATTCCAAGTAATTGGAATTTCCCCACCACATTGGTATACATTCAAAAGAATGAGCACACACAGTGCTGATACCACACCTTGAATGTATACTAGTGTTGTCAGTTTATTCCGGTTCCCGCAAAAAAGAAAATCAAAGTTAGGTAGAAAACTGTATGGTTTCCATTTCTGGTTGGAGTGGAGAAAAGGTTGTTGCTATTGGACATGTTGCTTTGGAAAAATAGGTTAGCTCCCATTATTTCAACAATATCAACTATATTCATGAGAGGAATTAGAGGTGGAGGCAAGCTGTGATGGGCAGATGATCCTACTAGTTTTTTTGTGCCTGAAGGCAGGGGTGCCTAGAAGGTCCTATTGAATCTGACCTCTAATGTGGTTGGGGAGAGATTGAGTGGAGTAATAATGGTTTATGGTTGATAGGTTGTGGATGAGTTTTGAGAGGGAATCTGCTGGGCAATTGGATTCCCTGTACACATGTGAGAATTTGATTTCTTCACATTGGTCACATAGTTGTCTTAGATTCATCAATTGCATCTTTAAACTCCATGGTGGATCAGTATCAGTGGTAAGCCAACGAATGAGCAGTGCTGAGTCTGCTTCTAAGTGTACCTTGTTGTGGCCATTGTCAATGCACCACTTAACTCCTAAGGTTGTTGCTTCAACTTCAGCTTGATTATTAGTACCTTCTCCCAATAGAGCAGCTAAGGCATGAATGAATGTACCATTGTAGTTCCTTATTATTTCCCATACCCCTGTAATTCCTGGATTCAGTGCACTCCCATCACTGTTGACTTTTACAAATCCCTGTTCAGATCTGCTCCAAACAACCTGTCTGACATTGATGTAGTGTTTGATGCTCTCAACAATGGGGTATAAATCCTCCCATTTTAGTGGCCAGCAGATTGATGGGTAGGTTATTTGCATGAGCATGTGAATATCTGAGTTGATGGAGTAGATGACTCTAGTGAGGGAGGAAGTTTTGGTGCCATATTTTGCATTGCACCTGTTTTTCTAAATGTTCCAGCAGATAATGGTTGGTACAGTGTCAAGTAAAAGCTTATGCACTTCATTCTTTCTTTTGTGAAGCCACTATTTCATCAGCAGGAGTCTTAGAGGCATTTCAATAGTGTGGATACCAGCTGGTCCTGCAAACCTTTTCCATACTGCCAATGCAAAGTGACCCCTACTAAAAATATGATCCACAGACTCTGCCCAACAACATACACATCTGGATACAGTAGGGCTGCTAAATAAGAGCACCTTATCATCTATAGGCAATTTGTTTCTGAGAGCTCTCCACATACAGAAGGACCATTTGAAAGGGATCCTCTTATGCCATGTCATTTTATTGGAGAAACATATCTGCCTCTTCTTTATGATCAAGTCCCCTGCAGAGGAGCATGTGCACCATCTCCCAACCAGTTGTCCCACCAAAAACTGCAGTTACCAGAATGTAGTCTCTAAATAATGTATTTTTCAGCTTCTTTCTTGTTAGTCATCATTTTCTTCTATGTCTGTGATTGCCCAGAATTCCATTTTTTGGAAATGGGATTTGATCTCTGGCAGTATTTAGCTCTGAGAAACTTGCTCCATAGTGACTCTTTAGTTCTGAAAAGCCACCATTTTTTGTATTACATGGTTTGGCAGATATCCTCCATTGATTTGAAGCCAACACCTCCTTCTTCAGTTGAAAATGCCATTTTTTGCCAAGAGGTCTAGTGGTATTTGTTTTTATCTTTCTCCATTCCCCAAAAGAAGTTAGTTGCTAACTTCTCAACCTGCCTCAGTATAGTTTTTTTTTTGGGATGGGTGGGGGGTTAAGGCTGACAACATGTGTGTAGGTATAAATTGGATCACATACATAATCAAAGTGGCTATGCCTCCATAAGAGAGGATTCTGCTTTGCCACCCTTTAATTCTGCTTACCACCTTGGCTACTAGGGAGCTGAAATATACTATTCTCATTCTTCCTGTGTATAATGGACACCCCAGGTAGGTAATGGGAGATTCTTTCTTGGTGAAACATATGACCTGCTGAACTCTTTTTATGGCAGCTGGGAATACAGAAGGAGAAACCATGAAGTGGCTTTTGTGCCTGTCGATTTGCTGCCCAGATGTGTGTTCATAATTGCTGAGAACCTCTATAATCTTCCGCAGTGATGCTCTACCTCCTGGTGTGAAAATTATGATGTCATCTGCAAAGCTTAGGTGGTTGACCTGTGGACCCCTCATCTCCATGTAGAAGCCATTAAAAAATTGATCATGGGTGAGGTTGTTGAGCATCCTAGAAAGTAGTTCAACTCCTATGATAAACAAAGATGGGGCCAGTGGATCTCCTTGTTTCAAGCCTCTAGTATAGTGGAAAAAACCATATCTAGTGCCATTGATGATCACTGAGTACTAGTTGTTTGATATAGTTCTCCATATCATGTCAATTATTCTTTCATTAAATCCCATTCTTCTCAGCATAATGCATGTAAAGCTCCAAGATACTCTATCATATGCTTTTTCCATGTTCAGCTTGATAACAACATTTGACCCTTTATTTGGATTTTTAATGCCTTGCACAATTTTCTGTGCAAGCATTATGTTTTCAGAAATACTTCTTCCCTTAACAAAACCAGACTGGTTGGGTGAGATGATTCTGGGAAGGATAGGGCCAAGTCTGGAGCAGATAACTTTTGAGATGATTTTGTTGACAAAATTGTTGACCCTAATAGGTCTGTATTCAGTGAAGGAGTTGGAAAATTCAACCTTTGGTAGAAAAACTAGGCAGGCACTAGTTATGTACTTAGGCATTTCTGAACCGCCAAAGAAGGCTAGAACAACCTGTAGCAGATCCACCTTGATGATGTCCCAGCAGGATTGAAAAAACTTTCCATTTAGGCCATCAGGACCTGCTGTACTTGTAGGATTCATTAAGAAAATCACTTCCTTGAGTTCTTCAATATTTGGATCTCTGGTGAGGAGGTCATTTTATTCATTTGTGATAAATAATGGAATACAGGATAGCAAGTCTTCTCTAATGGTGCCACCAGTTTCTGTAAATAGATCCTGATAGTAGTCACAAGTAGCTTCCCATATAGCTTCATCACCTTGCACCCATTCACCTTCAATGTCTTTGATTTTATGGATAAACAACTTTCTTCTTCTTTCTCTCATTAAACTGTGGAAGTATCTTGAGTTTGCATCACCATATTTGAACCACTGAAGCTGTGTTTTTTGCTTCAGAATATACTCTTCCAACTTCATGTACTTTTTGTATTAAGCCGTTACCTCTTGAAAATTCATTATGTCCTCTGCATCATTTGTTTGAGCCCAAATCATTTCTGCTTGCTTCATTTTTTCTTCATATTCCTTGGCCTTGTGAAAAATATCCACATATTCCTGCCTCAACCATTTACTTAAGGCATTAGAGACTGTTTTAAGCTTTTGATAGAAGATCCACATAGCATTGCCTTTGACTTCCTGATTCCAGACTTCATGAACCAGGGGTATGAAGCCTTTATTTTCCACCTAACAGTTGAGAAACTTAAAATATGTTTTGCTGGTATCCTGCCTGACATTCATCTCCATCAGTAGAGGATTGTGATCAGACCCAGTAGAGGATAGGTGTGAAATGGTGGTAGCTAGGAAGGAGATCAGTCAGTTGTCATTTACCATCCTTCTGTCCAATCTCTTCCAAATTATTGATCTTAGGACTCTGCCATTGGATCATGTATACCTAGGATCATAGAACCCCAGGTCTACAAGTCTACAAGTCAACAATCTCCTATCATACTGAGGAATTTCAAGCTCTTGCTCATTTGGTATGGTAGACCCCTATCTTTTCTTCAATGGATGCAATAACATTGAAATCTCCAAGCACACACCATAGGATGGTACAGGTCAAAGATTTCTGCCTCAATACCTCCTATAGTGGTCTTCTGAGATTTGCTTTACACTTGACATAAACAACAGTTAACTAGAACACTTCAATTGTTTCTACATGCTTTAGTTTAACAGTCATTTGCTGCTCATCTTGGTCAATGACTGAGCCTGTAAAATCTTGATCCCAAAAGATCCAGATTTTGTTGTTGATATTTGATGTTGCTTGATGCATGGACAATTGGATTATGTAGTAGTTGATATGAGTGTTGTCAAGGAAAGGTTATAGGACTGAAATGAAGGATAATTTGTGAAGGTGTTTGAGAGTTTTGAGTCTTTCAATGGCTCCAGAGGTTCTTATACCTCTTATATTCCATGTGATTATACTAATCATTAAAAGTGTTTGGGGAGGGTGTGCTTTGGTGGAAGGGTAGATATGGTTGCTTTGCTTCTGGTGAGGTAATGTGGTGGCTTATTTTTGGGAGAGAGTCCTTGTGCATCAATGACTGTAGCAGTATTAGAATGACCATTAAAAGCAGTAAGAAGATGAGTGCAAGTGTCATCATCCTTCAAGTCTTCACTATGTTAATCATCTGCTTCATTACCAATATCAACTTCATCCTCAGACTGTATGTGCATATACTCATCTGTTGCCTCATGCAAAGGTGATGGTGCAACTAATGCCATAGTACCCACTTCCTCTATTAGAGGTGAGTGTGCTACGTATGGCACAATTCCTACTTCCTTAACAAGAGTTGAGGGTGCTACATGAGACATAGTTTCTACTTCCTCTGCCTGGATTTAAGTAACATAGTCAGCCCCAGTTCCTACTGCCTTAGACATAGGTGAAAAACCAGTAGAAATCATAGTACCTGCTTCCTCCAAATGAGGTGAGGGTGCTACATATGATTCTACTCCTGTAGTCAAAGGTGAGGGTGCAACATGGGGTTGAACATCAGATTCCATAAAGTTGTCTGCATAGTTGATCTTTGTTTTAATCAAAGCAGTTTCCTGTTATCTTTTCATTTGCCTTCTTTTTTTTGACTTAGATTATTCTTTAATTTTGTCGAGGACAACTTATTTGCCATGTGAGATTTGCCTCTGTCAACTGTGCTTCTATGATCATCATCAGTACTAATTACCCCACTTGTTTCAATGCCATCAATATGAGTCTTCTGAGTAGACTGCTGAGTGGTAGCGTGGGTTAAATGGTCTATCCTAGGGTTACCTTGTGCATCAGCACACTCATGCAAAACATGAGGAACACCCACCCCCTTTGGATCCTCAACCTGATAAGTTATAGGTATCTCCTGACCATTCTTCTTTCCTCTATTAGCTTCAATATCAATCATAATGGGATTGGGAATGTGATCTTTCACATTTTCCAAAGCAACTGGAGGATTAACTTGTGAATTAAGAACAATACTTGAGTTCTTGTTAGGGTTAGCCTCTTGTGCATCAGCTACTCGTTTAGTAGCCTGTTTGAATTTATGTTGCATGCTTCTTTGGTTGACTCCCCTAAAGTGCTTCTTCTTTTGAAAGTGCCATTGATATTTGGAATGGTTATCCCTTGTAATTTGTTGAGCTGTTGCTTCTTGATTTTCATTTCTTTGCTGATCTTTTCTTTGGTCTTGCATTACCATATTCTTCTTGGAACTCTGATTCTTGTTTTGCCCCTGCACAGCTTGTTCCTGGTTATGTTGGGATCCCTCTGCATGCACTTTCCTGTTATTGTTCCGATTCTCATTGTTTCCAGATGTCTCAGCTGTTGCTTTCTTTTTGTCCTCCTCTTCTCTTTTCCTGATAGAACAATGGTATTCCTTATGTCCCAAATGCCTACAGTGTAGACCGTAAGTTGGGAGGTCTTCATACATCACCTCTAGCCACTGCCCATCCCCATTGACATCTTGGTCATCATCAAAACCAAGCCACACATGGTGAGGCCTATCCTTAGTTAAGTCTACCTGCATCTTCATTTTTGCTACACTTCCCCTGGTTTTTTGTATTGAGGCAAGGTCCAGATGTAATATCTTACTAATGGGTCACAACAAGACTAATAAGACCTCCATATAATAAAAATGCCAAGGCAATTCAGGAATGACTACCCATACTTGGACAATTGGGGTGTCCTCATTAGGCTTGAAGTTGGGAGTCCAGGCTTGAAGATTCATTCTTTGACCTTGGATGTACATGAATTATTTGGTCCAAACAGTGGTGTGGTCATACTCATTGTCTAGATCAATGTGCATTGTTCGGGCATTGAAATGGGCTATTTTAACTCCTCATCTGAGCTCAGTTTGAGCTATAAAGCTTCTTCTGATCACATCTATTCTGGGCATAGTGTTAAGAAATTTGCCCACAATAGTGTATTGGCAGAGTGACCATATAGTCTTTCCTGGTGAAGATAACCGCTGGTTAACCTTGTTTGGTGGTTATTTTGGGTGTGTGAATTCTATTGGGGCTAATTCTGCAGTCTGTTTTGCTCTTAGTTTGGTTACTAGGGATTGTGTGATGGTAGGAGGAGGTAGGGAAGGATAGTTGGGTGGTTTTTTTGGTTAGGTATTGGTTTCTTTTGGTGGAGTATCTGGTTTATTGTTGTGAAGCTGGGCATTTTGGATAGGCTCTGTAGGTGACTTATTGTTTTGTGGGTGTTGAGGTTTATCAAAGTTGGCTGAGATCTTTGGGTGTGTGGAAGTAGGTTGGTAAGAGGTGGTTTGGGTTTTTGTTTGAGCTAGTTGAGGAGCCTTGGCAACATGAATAAGTAGCTCATTGGCTGGTGTCTTCTCCAAGTGTCCTGGTGCATTTTGAATGCTGCTTGAATGAGGTCGATCACCTGGTTTTCTGATGAATGAGATAGGGGTCGTGCATTAATTTTTTGGCTATGTGGTTGCATTTCAATTGCTTGGGGATGCTCACAATTAATAGGAGATTAGTTTTCACGGGTGTGGTGCTTCTTGGGAATGACTGGTGCATTTGGTCGAACACTTGTAACAGTGGTAGCTGCAGAAATCAATTTTGGAGAAATTGTGACTTGTGATTGGTTGACCTGAGGCTGTGATGGATTGGGAAAATTCCCTATAGTTGCAGAAACATTTTGGCATTGACCTTGGTCGATTTGGATATCTGGTTCACCATCTCCGACCAACTAAGCAACTGGGGAAGAAGATGAGGATCGATCACCAGGAATTGGTCTTGTAAAGTGACTCCAGCACCACAATGAGCTTCAGGAACATCCAAAGGTTCATTTTCAATAAATTTCACTTCAATTGGGTCAGTGGAATTGGTTGGGGCATTTCGTCGAGCACATGTTATATTCACGACTGCAGAATTGGGTTTTTGAATTGTTATGGAGATTGATTGATTGTAGTGGGGTTTTGAGGGTTGAATACTGTTCTCTAGGTTAGTAGAAACATTTTTGCATTGGTTTCGTACCAATTGGATACCTGGAACATCTTCTCCGGCAATTGTCACCTCGCCGGCGATTTGCAGAACATCAGAGCTCTCATTTTCCACGGTAGAATGGTTTGAAATTTGGTGGGGAGGTAGTATTTGACCTGGGGAAGAATCTCCACTGCTTGGAAATGCTCGATTTGGCCCATATATGAATTGGGAATGTTTTGAAGATTTCGAAGCTATAGTGATCGTTGCACCTTTTTGTAGATTTGCAGCAACTCGCTTGGAATTTTGGAATGAAACCAACTCGAGTTTGTGCTCAATGCCAAGGCAATTCTTTTGAGCCAGGTCCGGTGGAATTTCACCGTCGGACGACAGAGTTGTGCCCATTCTGGTGGCAGACTGTCCTTAGCACCGGAAATCGCCTGGTGTCCTCTGGGTGGGTTGTTACAGTTTTGCTTATGAAAGTACTTGAATCACAATATTAAGTACTAAAAATGCGGGAACTTAGGTGGCTTGAGTGGAACCACAGAAAGAAATAAAGGTGCACTTGTATTTGAAAGAAAAGAACCATTAACAAATAGTGCAAAGTATAAAAAAAATGAAAAAAAAGAAGATAAAGAACAAGAACAAGAAAAATTGTGTGGGTAACGAAAAAAAGAAAAAAAGAAGAAGGAAATAACAAATTCTTATCCTTTGTTTGCGAGTTGTGAACAAAGTAGTGCTTAAAGAAAGGTAGAAATTTGGGGAGTAATTTTGCTTGATGGTATTTGAAGTTGGATTGTGGACAATTTTGCGCTTGAAGTTAAATATGTGACGTGTTAAAGTACTTAAGAGGGTCAGTCATTATTTCCTGAATATATCCTACATATCCCTTAGCATGCATTACAACCATAATAAAGTCCTAATTAATTTTAGACTGAGTAGGTATATATTAGTAGAGATTTACATAATGAGCAAGCCTATGATACCGTCTGCATGCCTTTAAATTC